TGAGGACGGGGGGGGGGGGGGGGGGGGGGAATTAAATAGTTTTATGAAAATAGTTTTCAGGCAAAATTAAAGTTTGAGTGATTAACTCTTGCATATGAAGTTACTAAGACATAAATATTGTAATTTTTCTACTCTAAAATAAAATAATATGTTGTTTATTATACAGTGCAGTTGAATTAGAATAGTAATATATTTCTGTCTCAGAGGTAATAAAACATTTTAAAAATATTTTTAAGTCATACATTTTACAAGAAAATATTATTTCAGTCTTTGTTTACATTTCATATTTAATTCTTTGTAATTATTTTCAAAATGCATTAGCAATTTCTGAGTAAAAATTGTTTATATATTAAATTGTTCATTGTTTAAAAATAGTTTTCTGAGAAAAAATATGATGGGTTTTTATTATTGTTATATTAAAATATAATAAATTTGGCTTGTGAATGTGATGTGATAGCATTTCTATTACAACTAAAACAGGTTTGACTCAACTTTCAAGTTCAAGTCGATGCAAAGAATTCAGTTTGGTCACTGAAAATCAAAACACTCGACATGCACCACATTCATGCGTTTAATTTTAAAATGCACTCAGTTTTCTTCCACTAGAGGTCCATTCTCACCAAATCCTGTGGAAACACTGAACGTACAAAAGCACCATTCAGAGCGCTTTATCAAACACACACTGAAACTCTGAGCTCTTGAAATACAGTGTGGATATAATGAGTGAGATCTGTGTGAATGTGTCTCTCCTCAGCCGTGGTCAGTTCGTCTCTGCGTCAGTATCACTTTGTGAATCAGAACATGAGCTGGACTGAAGCTCAGAGATACTGCAGAGAGAAACACACAGATCTGGTCACTATCAATGCCATAAATGAACAGAATGACATAAAACAGCTCATACAGAGAGAGAACAGCAGTGCTGACCGTGTCTGGATTGGGCTGAAAGACACATGGATTTGGTCTCTGAGTGACTCTGACTTCTACAGAGAAAATGAGTCTCAGTATAGGAACTGGAAACCAACACAACCAAATGGAGATGGAGACTGTGTTTATATGGATAATGATGGAAAATGGCATGATGTCAAATGTAGTACAACAAGACATTTCATCTGCTATAATGGTGAGATCAGCTGTATGTTTCATATCTGATGAACTTTGCACTATTAATTAACCAAATTATTATCTTCAGTAGAGCTGCTTACCTGAATTTAATTGGTTTCTGAATTGATGAACTTTGCAACACTGACACTTATTTTATTTTAAATGCTACAGAAATAAATGTGACTTGATTATGTGATTACAACACAGAAATGTTCTAAAAGACTTGATTATTTTCGTTATGAAATGTTTTCAGTTTTCAATAATTAACCACATTTGGATTTGTCTTTTTGTTTTTGGTAAATGAGAGGAGAAAGAACATGTATTTAATTCTCTAAATCAATATCAGACAAATATCTTTCTCTTTTAAAGGCAGCAGTAAAGGATTCGTCCCTGTAAAGGAAGAAAAGGACTGGACTGAAGCTCAGAAACACTGCAGAGAGAAACACACAGATCTGGCCAGTGTGAGGAATGAGAGTGAGAATCGTCAGATTAAGAACATCATAACTTCAGATAAACAAGCCTGGATCGGTCTGTACAGATCCTGGGTTTGGTCAGATAACAGCAACTTCACATTCAAACACTGGGAAAAACATGAACCCAATATCGGAGCTGAAAAGGACAGCATCTGTGCATCAACTGGTATCAGTGATGAAGGACGATGGACAGACGAGCTCTGTAGAGAACTGCATCACTTTGTGTGTTATGATGGTGAGTAGATCAATCATCTGAGCTGCTGTACATCTACATGACAAACTACAGAAACTCTCTCGTCATTACAGTGTGACCGCTCTATTCCTTTAACCAGCAATTCCCAGAGTTTCTGTCAGTGAAAGTATTTCTTGAAGTCTTTAAATTAATGTTTCAATAATTTGACAAAACATTCACGGTTCTCTGATGTCAGTTAATGATCACAAGACATGCAGCTAAACAAATAAAATATAAAAAATGAAATGCTGTAAACTTCTGTCCACAGAAAAGTTGGAAATTATGCAAATTGGTAAAAAAAGTAAACTTAGCACACATTGGGTTCTCAAATGCACATTAAACTCAGTGTTGATGCGAAGCAGCATTTACTGTGAACTGAGACGCTGAAAGCACTGTTTTATAAATTAACACAGTGACACGCTTCACTTTGAAACACGCAACGCATCAGACTTTGATTTGATAATCACACTAAGCTATATCATATATCATGCATTAATTGTGCAGCCTCAATTATATATATAAATTCTCATTTGGTTTTATTAATTGTTCGCTTTCATCAGCTCAGGAAGCCTGTTTGGGAAACCCTGCTGCTTTAACTCAACACTCTTCATATGAGTTCCTGTGTTTAAATGCTTCACTTTCTGTTTGTTTCCAGATGAACTGGTTCTGATCCGAGAGAGTAAGACGTGGACTGAAGCTCTGAGATACTGCAGAGATTGGGACATGGACCTGGTGTCGGTGGATTCGGAGCAGATGCAGCGGCGGGTGATGAATGTGACCTCGAGCGCCTCCTCCGATCACGTGTGGCTGGGTCTGCGTCACTCCCGTATACTGGGACTCTGGTTCTGGGTCAACGGTCACACCATGTGCTACAATCAGTGGGCTTCTGATTACAACACCGGACTGGACAAGTGCAATGAGACGGTCAGATCCGGAGCCATTCGGACCAACGATAATCGCTGGATCAGCCGCCCTGAAACTGATAGAAACAACTTCATCTGCAACAAGTGAGCGCTGGAGAGTAACTGATTACATGTAATCCACATTACAAATATTCTGTACTTGTAATTACACTACATTTTAAAGGGGTCATGACATGGATTTTTTAAAATTATTTGAACATGTTCTTTGAGGTTTATTTATAATGTTAATAAAGTTTTTTGCACAAAAAAAACCCCCCAAATAAATATGTGGAAAAATTAATATTTTCAAACCTCTTTCTGAACTTCTCTCAGAAACAGGCTGTTTTTAAGGGGCAGGTCCTTTAAGGCTTCTCAGTAATCGGCCACTGATATGATTGGCTCACGTCACTGCATAGGAAACAGTATCAACGCCCCCTCACTATTGCGTGTTTTGACATCATAATCCAAATTAAACAGTCATTTCCAGACAAAGCATTATGAAATATTTTACTTAAAATGTGATGCAGCTGCAGGCAGATCTTGTACTGCTTCATCTTTCAACAAATGTTCCTTTGAGAACTCTCCATGACACTGTCTCGTTTACAAAACAAAATCCTCCGAACAATCCTCTGACACGATCTGAGGTGCCATTTAAAATAAACTATCCACTTGATCCTTACGCTGGGATCAGGGCTCCAGACTGCGACCATTTTTTCTGCCTGTGCGACTACATTTTGTGAGCGCTAGCACTGGCGCCACCACAGCGTTGTTCAACTTGTAAGCGCTGCCATTTCTGTTGCATATGAGAAACATCAAACAGCAAACGAAACAAAAGCGTAACGCAAAAGCAACCGCGCTACTCGTTTGAGCTACGCAGCGACAGCGTGGACCGTTTATCAGCTCGGATCAATAACTGAGCGCAGCGTAATGCAACTCAGGAACCAAAGTTGATTTTTGTGACACTGTTACAGCACAGCGCTGCGAGATCCAGTGAGAAGCGTTTGAATGCGCCGCAGAATGAAAAGCAGGCCCGGATTGGCTAATTGGGACTCGCACTAATGGCAAAATAACCTTCAACCTTTGCCAAATCAGTTTGTGCGAATGCAAACAACTTATTGATCATGAACCCAACATCTAGCAAGGCAGGAAAACATTCAATCTACCTGAGGGAAGACATCTTTCATTGTAATGCTGTTAAATAGATAGAGAGAGAAAAAAATTTGTACTGTCAAACGATTAATCGCGATTAATCGCATCCAAAATAAAAGTTTTTGTTTACATAATATATGTGTGCGTACTGTGTATGTTTATTATGTATATATAAATACACACCCATGCATGTATATATTTAACAAAAAATATGTTGTTTATATATTAAATATATTTATATATGATATAATTTATATGAATATACATATATACATGTAAATATTTTCAAAATATATGCTGTATGTGTGTGTGTTTATATATACATAATAAATATTACTGCATAAAAAGACATCAAATTACCACTACAACCAGTAGATGGCAGCAGAGGAGCATTTACTGGCTTACTAGTCATTCGTTTCCACTTTTTTGCTTTATATTTTGAAATTATAAAATCACTACTATAAAATATCAAATCATCAAGAAATCTAATTTTGTCAAAGTTTTGCACTTTTTTGTGTATGAAGTAAGAAAAATCACAAAATACCTTGAAAAAACAAACTTTTCTTCAATTTGCGACTAAATCACACAAGCAAAGAGCATTCCTTTCATAATCACTGAAGTTGTTGGTCAGTTCTGAGTAGAATATATACATTTTTACCCTTTTAGAATTAGATGTTGCACATATTGCTATTGTCAATAAAAGTACATTTTGTATGCTTCCCAAATCAAGCTCAGTGCTTTATGGTCAAATGTGCATTTCCGAGAAATAAACGTAATATTATAAGTAACTGCATTTACTAACGCAAAAAAATTGTAATTTTATGATTAAATTATCTTTATTTTTTACTTTATTTTTTTGTGCTACCAAATCTGCTTCTGGAGCCACCATCTGTAGAACTTAGTGGCGCTGGAGCATCTGCTCTCAAATGTTAGTCTGGAGCCCTGCGCTGGGATCCTTCTGATATCTGTACAAAGATGCGAACGAGCTGTTTATACCAAACGTGTCAAAGCTAAAGTTCATTCACTGCATTTGTCCTGACGACAGACTCGAGCGCTGGATTGTGTCAGAAAGTGAACTCAGTGCAGACAAGATAGCGGCAATGATCGTAATTTCTCATGTCATGACCCCTTTAAAATGCCTATAATTAGAGGACCGTTACTTTCCAGTTTATTCTTAAAGTCACAATACATACTGTTTCAAAGCAGCTTCACAGAAAATCTATATTTCAATGTTACAATCAGGTAGTTTTCTGTTATTGGACTAGAATTATCTCCATTTAAGTGTTTTCATGTCTCTCTGAACTTCTATCATGTTTTCAGTTGTTTAAAATGACGGATACAAACATTTACTGTGTTTTCTTTCAGTTTGCTTTATTACTTTTTTATTTTTGTTTAGTGCATATTATTTAGTACTTACTGTAGCACAAACATTTACTTTTGTAGAACTGATATGTTCTGTGAACTCCATCTAAAATGACTGCAAATAATGCAGTTTTCAAAGCAACTTCCGAAATAACTTTGGTATTTTAACCTTTAAAATAATCTTTATCCTTCCTAAATGGACGCTGTGATGGAAAATATTTAAGATGCTCTTATATATGTGTGGACACACACATGGACTTTTAGTTTGCATCTCATTGTTTCCTGTGTTTCCTTTCGGTTTGCTTGGTCGTCATGGTTTCTAAGCATGTTCTCATTTGTCACCATAGTTACTGATTATGTTGCTCACCTGTGTCTCATTAATTTCCTTCATTGCTGTGTTTTTTTTATTCCTCTCACTTGGCATTGTAGACTGAATATTTTTGGCTTGATGACAAAGTGAGTGTGATGTTTCTTTGCATAAAATAATCTACAATGAATAAATGTAAACGTAAAATGTACAATGTAAAGATTTTATATAATGATAATAAATATTAACTGAGTGACTTCATGGAATATTTGCACTATTTGAACATCAGCAGAAGCATTTAAATGAAGTGGTGAAGGTTAAAATGTGATGAAAATAGATCTTATTGATACTTCAATACTTCAGCAAATTACAGGATCTACAAATATATACAGTGATGCAAAAAAACAACAACTTAGAAACACTAAAGATATACTAGAAACAGTTTTTTTTATTATATATAAAAATATCAAAACAAGTGGCATTTATTTTAAAGAAACACAACAGATAGTTTGCTTGGAACTGAAATATTTCTTCAATAAAATAATTTATTTTTAATAATTTTTTCATATAATAATATTATTTATTATTTTTATTTAGTTAGTTATTTTAGTACAAGACGTTAAATTTGAAGCTTTAAAAACACTGTTTAATCAGACAAAACTTAGATTCTGATGACTTTGCGTATTTACCTGAAAAGCGCTCCTGGTTTCCAGGTTCAGTTGTGTGTGTTTTTTTTACCATCATCACTATCTTGATGAAGAACGGCACACATTCAAATTCCGTCCTAAGGATTCAATCTGTCCCGTATCTGATTATTCTTCCCCGAGGGACACTAGGACATTCATGACCATCAGCTGCATAAAAAATGAACAACAATATGTAAATTAATTGGAAAAAACACAGACACAAACAGAGACTCTGGAGATAAACATTTTAAACACATAGGACATGATGGAAATAGTCCCCAAATCGTAGGCCTCTCGCACTAGTTGGATATATATAGCTGTCACCACCTGCAGATGTTCAGGGCCACCTATGCATTAGACAGGAACCCATCTTAATTTGTGTACCTCTGCCTCCTCAGGTGTTTCTGCCTTTTAAACACAATACACCCTTCGCTAAGGCAGGCCCACCACAGGCTGATCAGACCTTGGTGTGGGTTCCTATCTTTTTGGGGCCCAGCTGGGGTCTTTCCTTCTCAACCAGAGCCACGGCTGCAGTATTCTGCCGAGACTGATACTTGTTTGATGGTCTGGTGAAGGGTTTGGCCAAGAATTCCCAGCTCCTTAAAGGGGGTTGGCTGTTTTTTTCTAGGCTTGATTGTGTTCATGGTGTGCAGCAATGAGACCCTGAGAATATTATTGAAGAGGATCGCGCAGAACCTGTGCAAGCACGGCTCTTACAGGACGCTTCAGAATTGTATTTTTTTGTTTGTTGTCGTCTCATACTTTTAGATACGCTGTTATTTGTAAATGCTACTATGCTAAGAAATCCCAGTGAAACTTGGGTTGCAAGAAAAAAACCTAAGGGTCAACTTAAGGAACCTTAGGCTGCCATTAAGTATTCCCCGTAATTATTTAAATGTTCCCTTAAGTGTTGCTGCAAAGTCCTTAGTAGCCATTTCACCTTAATAACTTTAAGGGACCAAAAGAGCTCCCTTAAGTCATCTTAAACTCAGTATCTGCAGGATTTTTAAGCTCAAATGTAAGACTTAAGACATTTTTTAAGACCTGCACAAATAAAATATCATATGAGCGCAGTAGGACAATGACTACGGTAACATATTAAACTGTAAAAAGACTTGCATGACTTACAGGTTTTCACAAAACAAAGTTTTATATAAATTTTTAAGTAAATGGGCGAGTTGTATCAATTATGATATTAATTCAAACAATTATTATTAATCAATTATTACATTAAGTAAATAACAATATAAATTTTACTTGTCTTAATTGTTTAGATTTTTATAATGCATTATCTTCTCGTCGATCCACCTGTTCACATTTACAACTGCGTGTTTGCAGCGTCAAAACATGGGTTAATTTTCACATTTGGTAAATTTTCCGTCATTGGTCAGCAGGAGGCGCTTTCACTGCAGAAACAAAGCAGTTTCCTCTGTAACGACTGTACACAAAGCAGCGCAGAAATGGGCAGCGCTCATGTTTATTTAATGTTTGTCTGTGTTTTAGTTGGTTAGGTTTGTATTTCATTATGTTCTGTTTATTGTCATAGATATGTATATATGTCTATTGTGAGATGTAGTAACTATAGCAACCGTGGTGCCCATTGCCGTATGTTGCCAGAAACTACCGTGAAATGCTTAGTATAAACACTTAGGTAAGGGTGACAGT